AAGGACCTTTTTTCTTCTAAAGGCAGGAAGGTATTGTATGCATAAAATATACCTGCAATACAGGCTAAAAACACTCCTAGTGCGGTTATACAGAACAGTATATTTAAACAAAACTATCTCAAAAACGGCACAAATTTAGTTTGTTTTTAATGAATGAAAACAATAAAAAAACTGCTTTATTAATTTGAATTTGGCCTTATATTATTCATAAATGCAAGTAAATTCAAACAAATTTGGGCATTGCTAACTAATCATTCATATTTTTTACTATTTTTTTTTTCACACAATTGCTGGTAGAGTGCGAATAAGTGAACTTGCATATACAGACTATATTATATATATATGATAGCCCAGTTGCTAAGATAAATGAAACCTCTCAAATATTATTGTAAAAGCTATTTATAGAGAGAAAAATAATGATAAACAATTTTTATTGCATTCCTATTTCGCCTAAGTTCCACAGCTAGAGGAAGCTTCTGGCCAATTCCTATACTATCAAACACAAACAGGAGCGAAGCTGGTAGGAATAACATAGAGCTTCTGATAAGCCTTAGATCAGCAGCCGACAATTCATCAAGAGACTTAGCTATCTAATTGTAATTTGTTTACATAGTTGAACAAATCGGAAAGAAAATATATATTGCTCTAAACTTCATTAGATTCTGACCGGAGTCGGAACTATTTCACTGGCAACAAGATTTCCCCTGCACCTCACAGCCACATAGAGCTATGCCCTGTCTTTCTTCAAAAGGGGTCGTCTTGAAAATGGAGAGAGAAAAAAGCTGTTTGTTTTTGTGTCAAATGGAGTATCAACATTCCTCTTGTAAGCTGCACCTTGTTGTTGATCAAAGTGACGCAAACGCCGGTTGCTTCTGAGCAGCGCGAGGGGTAGCGATGATTGTCACAGAGTTCACCATGCGATAAGCTTTGTTGACCTCCGACCGAGGCAGTGTACCAGCGCACCATCCCCAACCATCTTTCTCTCACCAAAGGACCATAAGTTTCACACTCCTCAATGCGCAAAACTTGTCTGGCTCTGTCAGTCAAGGCTGTCTGGAGGAGGAGACGAACACAGCTAACCTTTGACATTTTCATGCCGATCTCATGCATGCGCATAATCCTATTTATGCAAGAGTCGCAATGTACCTGCAGTTATAACCACTGTGATTACTGACAGTTGCCGGCAAAGACCACAGTCTCGGCACGCAAGCAGCAGACCAAAAAGGAACTCTTTTTCAATGGCTATCTCTTTTAAGTTCGTCAATCTGATTTCATACTTGTCCAATTAACTAATGTTTGCTGTCCTCGTTTAGCTCCTAATTTTATTATCGTCCTCCATTCCCTATTTCTTATTCATGTTCCCTTTAAAAAAAAAAAAAGACATACAGTGCGCTTTCTCTCGGTGATGCTTTCTAGCGATTAGAATTTACGAAATCCTCGAGACTAAATCAACAAAGAGTCAAGAATAGAAGGAGGGAGACAAAAAAGAACCATAAAAACACATTTTGTCAAGGAGTAACACACTAGTTTGAACTTGGAAGTAAGTGGTCACTCGTATTTCATACATCCACGTTTCAGTCATGGCTGCAGTTTTTAGCATAAAAAGAAATTACAGTGCCGCCTAGTTCGAGAGACATAAGAGAGTGATATACTGTAACCGATATTTTCGATTTTCGTCCCATAACTGACCTCGACGTTGATGCATTGAAGAGAACCCCGACACCGTCCAAAGCTGCTACTGTGCTGTTGATGGAAGTGCTCTGACAGAACTGTTTTCGACACACCAGTGAGCAACTTTCAGTGTACACGGTGAGTGACCCGTCTTCAAGCTTTCCCGCAAGCTTCATCCAAGAACATGAAGTAGTAGAAGACATTAACGAAGAAATATCTGCTGCAGGACTTGAAACAACTCCCTTGCACATGCCGTCTGTCATAGACCCTAAGAGCCGTCACTCTTACACTGCAAGAAAACAACGGGAAATTGAAGGGTCGCACAGCAGAGAGGTACGTAAAAAGCTGGCTACAGCATATAGCTTTGAACAAGTGAACCAAGTGCTCACACTGAACCGCCATGCTTCGACTCTGACGAGCTGTAGGCAAATCTTAGAGAAGCCTTTGTCAAGGCATTTTCTTATCAGGAAAGAAGTCAGCTGCTCACGCTTGTGCCTGGAACTGAAACAGTTAACAAGGTTGAACGTTTAACCTTCGAGGCATTGAGCTATATTTTGAAAATGTCCAAGCGACTTCGCAACGTTTTGGCATATTGGAGTCTCCGGAGCCATACCAAGGCACTAAGATAAGTGAGGACATCGTGCTGTCAGCCATGTGGTTTTACTCCGACGATGATCTCGACCGTTCCCAGCAGAGTCCCAAGAAGAAGGGCACTGTGAACATTATGAAGCATGGGGAACAACTAGTCGTCGTCAAACGTTGAATGACGAGGTCAAAGCCTACCAGCTGTTCATGAGAGCCAACCCAGACTCCAAATCGGAACTGACCAAGTTTTATTTGCTGCAACGAAAATGAGTCAGGCTAAACCCTGACCAAACCGTGTGTGTGATGCACAAATTTTGATTTATGCTTATCTACCCTCAACAACGTACGACAGGAAAAACTAACACCGGAGAAGATTGTCACTTCTTGCCTTTGCTCCGTCTCAGCCCGACTGTTAACGAGGCGAGTGCAAGGAGTGCGCTAGCATTGAATGACATTCCAATTGGTTCCAGATGAAGAAATGACATTTTGCAAGTGGAAGAACGGCAATTGGGTGAATAAGACTGCGGACTGAAACATCTTTTTGAAAGAGGTGCAAAATAGGGCCACAAGATTTTCCGTTCACGATTTCATCCGTACAAGTCAACGGGAAGCTATTCCGATCGAGAAGAGCAAGATGACCACAAGACATACTTTCATGCCTTTTGATTTTGCAGAAAACTAGATGGTGATTCTGCCACATGAAATATGAGAGCACCACTGACACAAGCGTCTGTGTTCACATGTGTTGCGTTAACCTCGCAAAGTGCCAAATGTTTTGGTGCAGCATGCCAAGAGCCACGACACTCCCCTCATAGTACTCGCTATGAGATTCACCGAGGAGCGGCTGGAGGAGTACACACCACTTTATGCGTCACTAACGTATATATCTGACGGAGTGCCAGCTCATTTTAAGAGTAGATTTCAACTCTATGAGTTTGAACGAGCTGGTCTTCCGAAGGTGAAGTGGATTTTTTCTGCCTCGGGACACGGCAAGAACATCTGTGATGGAGTTGGGGGGCTTCTGAAGCATCAGGCAATGGTGCACAACATCCATTTGCCCGCGGCTGCGGTCCAACAGACGTCAATGGACCTTGTCAACAAGGTAGGAAAGTGTGTGAAAAATGTTGACTCTCCAAAATTTGAAGAAAGAGGACACGAGTGATTTTCGCTGATACATTACTCATCAAATGAAGTGTTTTTATGACGTGATACCAGCTGGTCTTTTTGCGTTTTGTCAGCTCAACTAAGTCTGACTGCGTAAGCTTATAAACAGAATAAAATATGGACTACATTGTTCAAGCAGTTCAAGCTTATGCAAAAAAATTGGCTGTGCATTCATAAGTGGAAAACATAATTGTCACACCATCACAGATATATTTTTACACTCCTGCATATCGCAGAAGATAGGTACTAAGCAGCCTTATGATTGATTCCCTGGTGTTTATTTTTAAATTACACTTTTCTCATGTCACACTGCGCTTCAGCAATGGTTAAGAACACTTGCCTGCCAGAGCTTGAAACATAATGTCTGGCAAACCTCGCTCTCAGACCGTAGGTGGCATTACTGTTTACATGAATGTTTTTCTTTTAGCCCTTCATAATGTCCCTCGGATATTCCAGGAGTTGTTATGAGCATGCATAACAGCAAATAAATCATGGTAAAGTAGCTTCCAAAAACATCCATTATTATTGGGGCTACCAGTAGCACTGCAGTGAAATCGGCATAGTTGAACCAACGATTAAATGACAGGCCTAAAATTGGCTTATTTAACTAGTTGTCCCCAAAACACAACAAAAATATTACATTTAAGACTTATACCCAGTATTTCTAGACATCATGGGCTATCAAGTAATTAAGAAGAAAATAAAAAATGATTTTTTTTTATGAAAATCGATTTCTAATTTTTTAATTTTTTATAATTATAACAAGTTTGGAGCTAGACATAATTTGTTTCATAAACAATACCAAGATAAAAATGCACCACCAGATAGCTTACGATTGAAGCGATGCACCGATACTTGTTTCATGTCATTACCTTTAACAGTTTGCTTACTGGAGCAATTATACTTTTAAATTTTAGAAGAGCGTTGTTGGCTGCTTGACAACAAACATATGTGCTCTGCTGTTCTCCGTAGTTTTATTTATTTCCTATTTTATTTTCTAAATCACTTCTTGCTTGTTTGTTTATCTGCATCTGTTCTTTTATTGTTTGTAATCTGTGCACACTAATAAGACCTCGAGCTGTTTGTGAGCACATTAAGCAGAATAAATAAATAAATAAATAAATACTAGAAGAAAAATTTTTGCAGGTAGCAAGTTCAATATTTTATACAAAAATAACTATAAAACCTTAAAATCACTGCTTTATTAATAGAAATGGTCCGTAACATTCTTTGAGTAAAGCCAATATTCTTGAAAAGAGGTTCAAAGCTGAGAAACAATCAAATTGAGTTTTTGACACATTTTACCTTTAGGCACTTTTTTTTCTGTGAAACATTTCTCTTCTAATTATTTTAAAGAACATTTCTCTTCTAATTGTTTTAAAGGACAGTTTTGCTAATCAGAGGGATAGAGCTGCCACATACAACCTTTTTAAACACATCTAAAGACACCCCCCCCCCCCCCCCCCCCCTACCCACACAATTTTGGTGTCGAATTCAAATGAGACCACCCAGCTAATAAGATGGTAAATGAGCATCCCACTCGAAATGAATAAACGAAAGGTCCGTATAGTCCTGCTCACCTACTGTTCCAGACGCCTTGAAGAAACTGGTACAAGACCTCGGGCCGGCCCTGGGGAAAGCGTACATTCCGAATGACTAACATTACTGAGCCTGCGAGAGACTACCTAAGAAAATAAGACTTTCAAGCTGTGTTTCCTTATTTTATATCAATATTTCAACCAAATACCCCCAATTTCAGTTGGACAAATAATGTCTAGAACCACAAATAAACCCAATGTTGGACATCTGAAGCTGGCTCTAAAGAATTCAAGGGATTCCTGGGTGCTTGGAACCATCTACCCTATTCGCTATGGTCGGTGACTGGTTAAGAACGTGGAAGATGCTCCGTCTCAAGCACGAGTTTTCTGTCTTTGATAATACTTCGTCTCAGACACAGTCAAAGCCCAGCGGAAGGCAACAAGCACGTGCTGAAGGTGAAGCATCTACCAAGTTCTTAACTTGACACCGACTGCAGAGGTGCACGAATATACAAAACTTTTATTAATTCACAAGTAGTGTTTGCTATTTGATTCGATTCGCAGCACACTTTTACTGTTCAAAATATTCTAGTTTTGTTTTTAATATTCGAAAGCTCAAAATTACAAACACTTGTGTCTTTAGAATTCTATGATTTTGTATGTCAAGCTTCACCGCTTCACACCGACACACGTGCGTCAAGCTCCACTGCTTAGGACTAGTGTGCTGGGAGAACCGACTGACATGTCAGTTGGTTCTCCCGGTTGGCTCCATGGTCTCGGAAATTTTGCTCCCTATTGTAGGTCAGCCTTCTTTCATTACAAGAGGTGCGATCAAAATGTTCCGAGACTAGTTCTGTAGTGTAAGAAGAGAGGGCAACACTGTGATCCACGCGTAGCTATCAAAAACAAGGACCTTCATGTTTCATTATGCCAAAGGGCATCGTTCTGAAACAATATGCTCTTCACTCTCCGAAATAACTTTTAATTTAATGTCTTCTAAACATATTTAAACTTTCACTCAATGAATACTGCATTCCATGCATTTTATGACTTTGAAAAAAAAAAAGGTCGCTGGCAATTGTTTTATTAAATTGCTCAAACCTGCAGTGGAAATTCCAGTGATATTTTTCGTCGACGTCTATGAAGTCTTTTATAGTATTTAAACCCTATTCATAGCATTTTCTGATCTTACAGTCTACTTCACATAGACGGACATCCTCTGACCAACCAACGACTTTTGTTGTAGCATTACTGCAATTAAAATGTCTCTTACTATATGTAAATAAACGTAAAAGTTTAAGAGACCCGCTCACGCAACTTGCAAGTTTCACGGTGTCAGTCGGCGAAAGGAATATTAATGCACTTCATGACTACTGCTTCACAAGTCTCCTCCCTGGCGCAGTGGTTGAACGTCGGGCTCACAATTTCCGCGTCTTGGATTCGATTCCCTTTGGGGGATATTTGGAATTTTCGTCTCGCATCTCAGTTTATCCCCTTATTACTCTCCCACGAATGCACATTCGCTTTGTGGGTCACAAACAGAAAGACGGACACAAAAAATGACCGCATCTCCACGAGGCGAATGAAGTTGATTGGGGCGAAGCTCTGGTGGTGCTGATGATACTGATTATGTTCATAGGTAGTGCTGATGGTGTTGATTTTTTTTAAATATATATACGCATTTGACTGCAGCGCCCTCTCCTATATAGACGTTGAGTGGCTACATGCAACGTTTCATCCATGACATCCCCAGCTCTTGAGTAACTATCACATCTCAGAGCCCCCTAATCGTTCCGCAGTCGTGGCCGAGTCGTTAAGGCGATGGACTAGAAATCCAATGGGGTCTCCCCGCACAGGTTCGAATCCTGTCGACATCGCAAACATTTTTTCTTTTTTAAGAAGACAGATGGGATGACAATCAATGCGAGCACGGACGCCGGACAAGGCTAGACCTTAAGGAGCTTCGCCCCTAAAAGGCCGTAGAGTTTACTCAAATTCTATCGCATTTAAAATTCCTGTAGTGCAACTCCCAATGCTCACAGAAAGATTCCCTTTGGCAAAATGACACATGAAGGTCCCTGCTTTCAAACGCTGTGCGCGCATCACCATGCTGCCCTCTTTCTTTGCGCTACGAAACATCTCAGAACTTTTTATCGCACCTCCTAATTATAGTTTAACCCCGATTTAAAGGACCGTTCTGTAAAAGAAAACCTCAGCTTCATTCAAATAAAAAAGGCAATCAATTTTTTGCTTGCCATGTTACATTATGTATTATCCAACTCATCTTATCTGTAAAACTACACTTTTTCAACGGTGTTTTTTACAAAAAAAAAAAGAATTCCAGTCGTGATTTATTAAAGCATCTATGCTCAATTCAATTTAAATGTAAAGTATTCACATTCAAAAATATTCATTTTGTAGTCAGATTTTAATATCTGTATTTCATTTGAAATCAAGGATGTGATATTTGCACACCTCTACTATAGGTATTTACTCAAACTCTATGCAAAACTTCTACAAAAAAAGCACAAATGTCTACATTCATGTACAGCATACAGACAGTGAATAATTACAATTTCTAGAAAAAGACCAAGGAGTAATGAGGCACTGATAAAGTAATTGATTTGAGAATATGATCTGCACTGGGGTTCTTAACATGTTAATGTTATTTTCAGAGCCCCAGCCCATGTCACTGTTTAGAGGTCCAGCACGATTCGTGCCCCATCCTTTGCCATCTCCTTCCATAAATCACAATGGTCGGGTCTCGACGTATAAGACAAAGCAGACGTGAAGCCTTTGCAAGATTGCAGTGCCAAATACAGTGGTAACTATTAGGGTAATAGATGCTGTGTGGAAGTAATTTAAGATGAAATAGTTTTATACATTTGATTCCAATCAAAAAACAATACCTTACCTCTAACTTCCGCATAACGTCATCCACCCGATGTGCCAGATACTGAAGCATCAACTGTGAAGTTGCCGTGTTATCTATATCTAGCAGCTCCTGCAAAGCCACACCAAAGTGACACATTCAAACTTCATCAAGTGGCATCCACAAAAGTAACCTCTTAGCACCACAGTACTCACCTCAATGCTTTCAATCAGTTGGTTCTCCAATGAGGTTTTCTCCTGCTCACTGATGTTGTGACTCTCAAACACTTGCATGGCATAATAGAAGGTTCTTGGCTGCAAGATACAGTCCACCACACAAATTATTAGAGATAAAAGTGCAGACTTTGAATGCCTCCCACAGACTTTTTTTTTAAAAAGGAAGTTCCACCTTTCGAGATGGATCCTCCAAGTAGCAGAGGAAGATCTTGTCGTACTGCCTCCTCTTCTCATAGAGGTACTCACACACTCTATAGCTGCAGAGTAAAACGATGGAAAATCATACAAATAAAATATAATGAACCAGCATAGCTGCTTAGTATATCCAGACCTAGTTATACAATCCACCTCACAAATTGTGACTTTCCAAACAGTGCCCTCCAACTCCCACAACACGACGCAGAACTCTTGAAATACCATAAAATCCCGAGAGATGCCCCACCCCTGCAAGGTAACCCACCCCTATTTTAATGCGAAAGCATTAACTGTCTAAAAGAGCGAGCTGACGTCATCAGACTGAAGCGCGAAAATGGCAGATAGTTTCCTTCGGTTCCATTGGCTGGTGCGCGTCAATGGGGCTCCCATTGGCTGCTGCGCTCGTCAGTTTCCATGACCGCACACCCCATGGCGCTACGTGTCCATCAGCGCGGAACGTCCTAGGTCACCAGGGAAGCACACGCACCGACCGGCGACGAAAAGTATGCAGCAGACGAAAAAGGGAGCGAATGAGCGGCTTGCATGCTTTTGCATTCACAACTCATAAGAAATGCTTAGCTGTACCTCAATCTTTTTTGGCTTGACTTGCTACTTTCTTTGAAACACCGAAAGATAGCCCACTCCTAGTAATCATAGTGTTAGGATCAATGATGACCTAGGCGTAAATATGTCTAGTTAACTATGGTGGAATATAAGCAAACAGCGCTGACGTTGAAGTAAAGTCACCTTTGTTTCATTGCAGGCCTCGCCGCAATAACAAGTTTGACAGAGAAAAGTCATCTAAAAAAGCACTTTTTCAACTTTTGAAAAAAAAAGCACACTGAAAGTTAGCCCACTCTTTTTTCTCACCCAATTTTCTCGCGATTTTAGGTGGACTACCTCTCGGGATTTTACAGTAGGCTACAGGCAAGTTCAGTTTACCTCAGAAGGTCAGAAAGCAGTGTGTCGCAAACGATATATTTGACGTCGAGTGCCGACCCACACACCATGTCCACACCAATATATAGTGCAAGGGTTTTAATGCGTTAGCATTAGTGCCCTGGTACATGCGCTGACCTTGGACTGGTTTGGAGCGCATATATATAAAGTTTGCAGTCGCCACAGGATGGTGCCACAGCCCCCTGGCTGTGGAAACTGGCTAGGAAACACCCTCCGCAAGCGCCAACAGATGGCGGCGGGGTGCATGTTTCGTGACGCTTGGCGCATAGCAAAGGAGGCTGCACTGGATTGGTTATAGGAAGCGACGCCGTGATGAAACACCTAGCAACCGAAGATCGCCGGCAACGCTCCCCTTTGCCAATTTCGGCGCCGCGCAGGGGGGGATGGAGGGTGTATCACTGGGACGCGTATTAAGCCCCCCCTCCCCCCCCCCCCCCCCCCCCCTTCCGCCCGACCCCCCCGCCATTAACGCTGCTCCGCGGCGACAGTCTGTCGATGGCTCATTACAACATATTAACCCGCCTTGAGCCACCAGTACACGTCACCTCGCTGAGCCCCGCTGGCGGCCCAAGTACGCCCTAGCCCTGCTGTCCCTTGCTACACCTCTGTTACTCAGCGTTACGCCACACAGTCACACTCTATAACCAGTCAATCCTGTGCGGCCACCATCCTTCATACAAACGCCGAGTGATCTGATCTGCTTGCACCAGGGAGAAGACGGGCTTTGGGAATTTCCCCCCCTTGGAAAAGTGCTCAGAGGCAGTGTTTGCCATGCTTTGTTATAGACAACCGCTGCGCGAAATGTTAATACATTTCTTCGAGAATCAGCAAGGCGGCAGCAATGATTCTTGAGTAAATAAAAACTGCAAACGATTACACTTCTCAAAGACAATAACAGTTTTCACGACCTTTTAAAAATTAAGAGTCACAAAGTTTTAGCCTGTTGAAGCCTTCATCACCGCCAAGAATCGGAAGCAGGCAGCAACCACTCACAACTTGGCCTTCTCGGAGAGCTGCAGAAGACGATTGTCCTCGATGCCCACAAATCCACCTGCCTGGAGGAGCTCCAAGAGCGCCTGCTGACGCTCCTCCATCCTGGTCTCATCGTCAGGGTTCGTCAGGTACTCCAGAACCTGGAGAACCACTCCAGTCTCAAAACGAGTGACGCCTTGCTTTGAGAGGGCAACAATGGTGCAAGTTCCCTACCTGTTCAAAAAGCAGCCGGTTGACTATGAGCGTGTTGTCTGGTCTGGCCAGCTGTCTCGCCAGGAACGTGAACAGGGCACCCACCTCGGTCGGCTGAAACCAACAACGGGCGTCGTTCAAAGTCGAAAATGCCAGATTGTAAACCTTTTGGTGCCCACTCTCCTTTTCTTCAGCTAAAGGCACTCTAGTCTGCTGTATTCACTAAGAATTATGAACTATGCCATTTCAGCAAAGATGTAACTCCAGTGCACAAACATAACAGAGTACAATGAATGGCTTATTGCCACATTTATGTATTGGAACAGTGTGAAAAGAACATCCTTTACTGTTATATGCAGAAGTGAGAAGCATCAAGTAAAAGGATGAATGGATGGATACATGGTACCAGCTGTACTCTTTATAATTGGCGGTAGCTTGCACCACCTAACCAGGGTCAACAAAAAAGTTTTTTTTTTCTTTTTTATAAAAGAAGAGGGTATTTTAGCGGATCCCAGTGGGTCTGCAGAACCCCATTTGAGAACCACTGGCATATAATCATATGGTGGGCAGGTCATTTGTGTAAATAAAGAAAATGAGCTTCAAACATGGATTCCAGAAAACTGACAGATATTAAATTGATAGAGCCAGCCTCAGCGCTTTTGTGTCAGTGGATATGGCCTCGATGGAGCAGGAAGTCGCCGACTGTTCTTGAGGTGGAGACTTTCCCCAGTGTGCGCTCAGCAGCAGCAACACAGACTACATACTTTGAAGGCTCTTGCTTGTGCGCTTTGTGCACCAATGAGAGCACCGGGTCCAGCCGCGACAGGAAGCCAACTGCCTTTACACAGCAAGTGCCAGTTTGCAGACAGTCTGTTCAGTATGGTGTGTATTGTGTGTGACAGATATGAGCCAATGCATTCTAAATGCTACGCATTTAAAATGCCAAAGAGAGCTAATTTTTCTTTTCAATTCTTCTGGAGAGAGACAATGCAAATACACAGTACATTTTGTCGACATGACAAGTAAGCAAAAGAGGAGCAAACATCTGAAATGGTGAGCCCACTCACCGAAAAGCCTTCACTTTGGACCATGATCTGAAGCAGGATGTCCACAACCCTCTGTTTCTGGGCCAAGCTGGGAGAGGAACATACCCAAAGCAACAATGCAGCTCGTTACAGGGCTGCCATGATCTGCTGGCACCGCAGTGTGTACACCTACCCAGATTCAGTGGTGAACTCCTCTTCCTCGAACGCCTTCAGATGAGAAAAAGGTAATTCAAGGCATTCTTAGAACCACAGCTGGAGGTTGAGAGCTCCTTTGCAACTTACCAGAGCAAGAACGTTTAGAAACTCTCGTGTGCTGAAGTGGAGAAGTGCCTTTAGGTATGGAAAGATGCTGTCATCTGAAACAGAGTGGCAGTTACTCCCTTACTGTAATTATAAACATATTTTATATTATTACAAAAAAAAGTAAAAAATCAATATCAGGGGACAGAATTAAAGGGTACAGACTTGGGGGGAGACTTTAGCAGGAAAGAAGTTTTCAGTTGCTGAGACCTAATATGAGTGTCACAATGCTGGAAGACCCAGCTTGTTCCTCTTACCAATATGAGTAGAGATGCTGTGAACTTTTTGCAAACCTGAGGTTCGAAGATCGAACCAGAGGGTTTGAAAGGTTTGCAAAGTTTCGAAACATCAAACTTATTACATAACAAATTCTACAATTTTCGAACTTCCCAAATTTTTGGTGCTGAGAAATTCAACTGTTTTCTAACTTTTGATTTTTCACGCTATGAAATTCAAAATATTTCAACTTATCACGCTAAGAAATTCAACAAGAATTTCAAACTTTCAAACCTCTTAGTTCGAAAGTTCAACGAACTTTGAACTTCTGAACAAAAGTTCCATGAAGTTTGAACCAAGTGCACCCCCATAGGTTCAAGCCAACAAATATAAGTGTGAAATGGAGTTGAAATTGCACTAAGGTCCTACTTCGCTGATTGTGCCACAAACGACTCGTTTGTAAAGTGCTGAATTATAACTTTGGTGTGGCCTCGACCTCACACCTTTTTCTTTCGACTTCCGCAGAGAGCCCCTCCCGCGTACAACTCCCTGTGGTAACCTGTCGGCCAACAGATCCTGATCCGCAGACTTGAAATTCAAGCGAGGCGCTTCACCGGGAGCGTCCTTTATATCATTAGTTGTTTTTGAACGCAAGTACCCCGATTTTCTCGAGTCAAGGTAAAGCACGGGTGGGGCGCAACGCCGATGCGTTATGACGAATGCTGAATTGGCACTTACTTCATTATCATTATTAACCGGCTGCATTTCAGAGTGGCCAATATCTCCATTCACCGAAGAAGTTCCAGGCAGAGGCAATAAGGTTAGCCCGATAAGAACATATTGTGACCTCCCTATCCCACAAGTCATCCTGCCGAAAATAAACGCACAGAGCTAATAAAAATTTTCGACCTGGATGCCTTTATGTGCATGCGTTGTCCTGTATATTTAGCTGCCTTATGCCAGCACTACATGTAGACGACGTTTGATCCAATTGCTACTAGTTCGCAAATAAGTGGAAAGTATGTTCACCTGACCGCCTCAGGGCTTTTCGATGAACTGTTCAACACTTGTTTCATAAGTTACAACAAATAACGAGTAATACAGGTAGTACCGTCAGTACCACAGCACAGAAGGAAGCAGTATATTCATGGCGTAAGGGAAATAGGCAACGTTTTCAGTAAAATTCGTAGCACAGTTTGCAATTTTTTTTAGAAGCATTCATAAAACTTAATTTAAAACTGCAGAATTTGATTTCCATCCGTGAAATCCTAAGACTTCGAACTTGAAATCGAAACTTTAGAACTTTGCAACTTGTGCCACGAAAAAAATCGAAAAATTCGAAATGTTAGAATTTTTCAAACAATCTGTCAAAAAATTTGAAATATTCAAACTCCAACTTTCAGAAACCTTGACATTTCCGAATTATTTGAATTCGAACCTCAGCAGGGTTCTAAAGTTGCAAACATTTCTAATTCGAACCTCAACAAGGTGCAAAATTTCTGAACCTTTCGAACTCAAACTTCAGGAGGTTTGCGGCATCCCTAAGTACAAGTACAATGTTATATGTGCTATGAACATCACGACATAGGTACAATAATTGGGGCTGGAACGGGAAAGCTACTAACTTATAGCTAATAAAAAGCAAACATAAGTGTAGGTCCACTGCATATCACTACCTAATATGTGAAAATAAAAGGGATGTTTCAAAATATTTAAATAGGGCGGTCTCACAAAAGGGATCACATAAACATACTCTCACATTTTGGCATCCAGTGTACCATAATTCACTTTCAACAAGTTCTGATTACTGGAAATCTATGCTTTAAGTGTAAATGCAAGATAAAGACAAACAAACAGACCATTGACTAACAACTGAATTTTAGGCTTTGCCTAAGAAAATGGCAAAGCAAAGGTCCCAGAACAAGGGCTGACCCCCATGCAAACCAAGAGATGCACCCTCTGAGGGTACAAGAGATGCACCCTCCGAGAGTAGGGATACCAAATAACTTACAGTCAGTGGCGTAGCCAGAAATTTTTTTTCAGGGAGTGCTGAGGTGGCCGAGATGTTTATGACTTGGGGTTCTGAGGAGGGGGACGGAGGGGTCAAAATGCATATGTGTATCATAGGGTCAGCTGGATTTTGAGGGGAGGGGGAGGCTGAGGCCTTATAAGCCTCTCCCTTGGCTACGCCACTGCCTACAGTCTACCTCTGGGTGAATTCATTTTTACTTCCATCATAGTTTTATGTTCTGATGTGTCATCAGCATCAGTCCATAATGCCCTTTAATGAAACAGCATCAAAAGACATTTAGGATTTACAGTGATTTAATAAACAAACAAGCATGGTAAATTTGTAAGCTTCCCCACTGCTTCTCTATCAATTGCTTGCAGAAAGCTTTTAGAAAGATGTAGTCATTGTTTATTATCCACAATAGTAGTATCTGTATTTACTTTTTATTAGTGCCCAAAAGGCCTTCAAACTGGCTTTCATACTGGCCATAGCACTGTTGTTCTCCAGGACCACCTACCATCGGCACCAGCTCCGTGAAGAGCCGTGATGCACTGAAACACCTCAGCCTTGACAGATGCCACTCTCGATGAATCAATGTCACCATGAGGATAGCCTCGCCCTGCCAGGCAGCAGCTGCAGGCATCATTGAAAACGCGCACGATGACAGGCAGCTTTCGGAACTTGTCACTGTCCACGACTCGCACACAAAGCTTCCGCCATGACCTGTAACGTGGTACTTCAAAGGCCACAGCTATGCTCCAGTTACTTGTTTTTCTGCACTAATGGTAAAGCAGAAAAGACGCGAGTTTTCTTCGTAAGAAGGCCACATAGGATGTAAGTAAATGTAGCAGCCTCCAATGCTGGCTGCGATCTTGGTTTTTGCCGTTTGAACTAAAGATCCCATTCCTTTGTCTGACCCCACGTTTGCCAAAATTTGGGTATCTTTGGTATCGTTTACGGTACGAGGAGCAACGCAATACAAGAATCCCATCTTAGTTGCACTAACTTTAGCTAATTATAGGATCTGGAGGTTTGTGAGATTATTTTTATGGGAAAAGATCAACTGTTTGGATCTCCACTAAGGTACCTCACTGATGCCAATTGAGAGCTTTGCTGCCAGATAACTAAGGTTAAAGACCGACACTACAGAGTTAAAACTGAAATCATGAAGTGAGTCCCTAGATTCGGCAATTATCCAACAAGCAAGAAGAGTGGCACTACTATATACCCAACAACCCTGGTGCCTGCCGTCTGGGCTGGTCTCTAAGTTAAAGCGTCTTTCATCCTTAAAATCACCCCTTAACCACGCTTTTACACATTTCTCTGCCACAAAAGAAAAAGGGGGGAAGGGAGAAAAGGGGGGGAGTGAGGTGCCTGGTTGAAGTATAAAAGTAATATGTTAATATTAATGTGTATGGTGGCCATTGAAATATAAATTAAATTTGATAACAAGTTTGGTCATCATTTGTGTGCCTTCCCTCTCAACCGACCTCTTGACCAACGCACCTGACATAAACGAGCAGTTTGTTTCCCAGCATCATTTGATTGTCCGTCAGTTGCTTTCCGTGCTTCAAGGCCTCCCGCAGGACTGCCATCAGCTCCTAGCAAAAGTCAGAGAGCAGCGAGACTGGCATTTGGGCGTGCTCAGGTCATTTGGAAGCAAACCTATTGCAGAAACTACAGACATACCTTAATGGGAGTGGTGTAGTCGTTCATGCCACGGTTGTAGACATAGATAATGGCATCGTAGAGGCAGTGGGTCCAACACAGGGTCATCACCTTCAATAAATAGAAGAAAAAAAAAACAGTAGCACATCTTTAGGTGAAACTCCCAGCATCACAAAATGTCTGTTCGAGACTTTAAGTTTGTCTAGTTCTTTTTCAAAAAATGAAACCTTTGATAAGTAAAACAGTTCTGCCTCATCCCTTGGAATTCTACCTACAAATATTCTACAATAACTGCACCATCAAAACAGTACCTGTATACCAAACCAGCAAGGTAAATAAAAGAGAAATGGGCTATGACCCAAGAGGTGGCATCGAGTGAAGTTAGTGAAAAACATGACTTTTCTGGGCAGCTATTTTTAGTAAACTTCCGATACAAGCAACACCCTGAAAACTAGGTCTGGCAATATCTATTTTTCTAGAGATCTCACCTTACCTTTCACAAAACTGAGCAGCCAGAAAACATTTCAAGCTTCAAGTATAGTTAGAATTTAACAAGCATATCAAAATGACAAAAATGAAGTAACGCTCTTCAAATATAAATGGAACTGGTGAGCCAGCTGGGTACAGATATTGAAGAGACAAAGTTTGAAGGGACAAGGAGGGACAGTGTGTCCCTCCTCCTTGTTGTCCTTTTGCATTGTGTCTCGTCAAATCTCTCGTGCACATCCCAGGAAGAGACATCCCCACAAAACATCTACATCACCTTCAATGCCTGCGGGAGCCACGGACACGAGAACAAGGCCTGAGCAAACACACCTGGTGAATGTCGAGGCAGGCGATGTCCAGCCGCACTAGGCAAGCCTCGAGCATCTCAAACTGGTGCTTGCTCGCCAGCTGCTGAACAAACTCCTTGGCCAACTGGGGCCCCAGACGCGACAGCCGCCCGTCCAAGATGTGCTGGGGCAGACTCTCGAGGAAGCAGCCCTTGGCCAGTGGATCCGCGCCCAACGTGCTGTAGAGCTTTTCAAACAGCTCCTCGCTACAAGCACACAGGGAATGTGGGACCACCCGTCGCTCATATCCTCGTACTGGTTGTCCCGCGTCCCAGCTGGCCGCGTCTGGCGGGGCGCTGGCCAGCACGAAACCCCAAGTGCTCAAAGCGGGCTCAGACCTGAACTCGACGGCCAGGCAGTAGCGCACACACAGCGGCACCGTCTCCGCATAGTGCGCCAGGAGCACTTCCAGGCGGCCGTGGTCCGGGTTCAGCCGCGTCATCAGGAGCTCCGCAAAAGTCGTCAGCAGCTCCTCCATCTTGCGGGCAACCTGCTGCTGGCGGTGCGCCTTCTTGCCCACCAGACCTGCAGTGACCCAATGGTTCGTCGGTTGAACCTTTTTGCAGAGGACCCCGGATCGTCAAGCGGATGTGTGCGCCTCTCGTTCGCCTCTGAAAGCAGCAAACTCGAGCCCAGATATGGGTAAATTTTGTTTTTATAAATGAAGGGTTCTATGTCGTGATAATGCACACAGAAGGCCAATCAGTGCGATCTACGAAAGGATCCTGAAAAATGAGGAGGCCAGAGAAAGTTTAGACCCAAACTTACAATTGTGTGCAGAGAGTGTTCAGAATGTTGTTTCAAATGCTCAGCACCGTGTATGGCGGGTTATGTTTTCGTGTCCACATGCCACTATTTGCCTAGACTTCAATATTGGCTTTCTAAACCTGCGGGAAAGAAGACCTGTAGGCTTACTTTGTAACGAGGTTAACCCCATTTAAGAAAGGATACTACTCCGAAAGGCATTATTTATTAACGATTAGTCTCATATGTATGAAATTTGCAGAGAAAATTCATAGCTGTGAAACAAAATGCCATGCAAGGTTTCAACTTTGTAAATTAATCCTTCAAAGAGTTACATAAAAATACATAAAATAAACACTGCATCCACTGAGGAAAACTATCGCTTAGAAATGGTTATGGGAATGGCCAGTTCTTTTGGTGGAAAATTCAGTATGACACCTGTGTCATGTTGCTATAGAAATAAATAACAGAAATGACCCAAATTTTAATAGGAAATAAAAATGTGGAACAAAGTGTCTTCATGCGTGTATTAGGCTGAAGAAACCGCAGCTTTTCATAACAAAAGAGCAGAAAAAAGCAGAAAATAAGTTCACAGACACACAGGACCAGATTAAAGGGGCGGTGCAACGATTTTATGATTAAAAGAATTTGAATCTCGTCATTTTTACGTTGTTTGCCGTGTCCCGGAGGATAGAGAAAACACCTCCTTCATTGAAAATGTTGCGATTCCGCTGCATAATCGCCAAGCAAAAGTCGAGTTTTTCCCCCCACCTGCAGCCCCAAGTGGCAGCCCAAGGAACTACGGCGAAAAGATTACGTGACCTCGCTCGGCTCTAAGCTGCAGCATAACGCCTGCTAATGTCAGCGGAGAGAGGGAGAGGAAGAGTCTTTTGAGATAGCACACGGGAAGCTACACGGCACTCCGAATGATGTCACTAGGAGGGGGACCAGGTGCGACCCTGAAGGCTGGGAGTGAGTTGAGGGGTGCCCGAAATGCCAATCTTTATCTTTTTTTTTACGCAACAACTAGGACACGCAGGCCAAATCGGATTTCGGTTCTTTAGTTCAGAAGTGTCAGAGGGCAACTTCCAGAAATCTTTGACCGAAGTCCCGAAATTGTTGCACCCCCCCTTTAAGAGATTTCGGGGCCACGGGCCAATGCTGGTTAGGGACGCTCCTTAGAAATAAAACACAAAGAAAAGAACCGCAACACAGATGCTTCGTCACGGTAGCCGGCGGGGGCGCTCATGGTCAAAGCGGAGGATCCTCAGAAATAAAACACAAAGAAAAGAACAGCAACGCAGATGCTTCGTCACGGTAGCCGGCTCAAGGTCAAAGCGGAGGCTCCTCAGAAATAAAACACAAAGAAAAGAACAGCAACGCAGATGCTTCGTAACGGTAGCCGGCGGGGGCGCCCATGGTCAAAGCGGACGCTCCTCAGAAATAAAACACAAAGAAAAGAACAGCAACACAGATGCTTCGTCACGGTAGCCGGCGAAAACGCTCAAGGTCAAAGCGGACGCTCCTCAGAGATGAAACACAAAGAAAAGAACAGCAACGCAGATGCTTCGTCCCGGTAGCCGGCGGGGTAGCTCACGGTCAAAGCGGACACTCCTCAGAAATAAAACACAAAGAAAAGAACAGCAACGCAGATGTTTCGTCACAGTAGCCGGCGGGGGCGCTCATGGTCTAAGCGGACGCTCCTCAGGAATAAAACACAAAGAAAAGAACAGCAAAGCAGATGCTTCGTCATGGTAGCCGGTGGGGGCGCTCATGGTCAAAGCGGACGCTCCTCAGAGATGAAACACAAAGAAAAGAACAGCAACGCAGATGCTTCGTCCCGGTAGCCGGCGGGGTAGCTCACGGTCAAAGCGGACGCCCCTCAGAGATGAAACACAAAGAAAAGAACAGCAACGCAGATGCTTCGTCCCGGTAGCCGGCGGGGTAGCTCACGGTCGAAGCGGACGCTCCTCAGAAATAAAACACAAAGAAAAGAACAGCAACGCAGATGTTTCGTCACGGTAGCCGGCGGGGGCGCTCATGGTCTAAGCGGACGCTCCTCAGGAATAAAACACAAAGAAAAGAACAGCAAAGCAGATGCTTCGTCATGGTAGCCGGCGGGGGCGCTCAAGGTCAAAGCGGACGCTCCTCAGCGATGAAACACAAAGAAAAGAACAGCAACGCAGATGCTTCGTCCCGGTAGCCGGCGGGGTAGCTCACGGTCAAAGCGGACGCTCCTCAGAGATGAAACACAAAGAAAAGAACAGCAACGCAGATGCTTCGTCCCGGTAGCCGGCGGGGTAGCTCACGGTCAAAGCGGACGCTCCTCAGAAATAAAACACAACAGCAACGCAGATGTTTCGTCACGGTAGCCGGCGGGGGCGCTCATGGTCTAAGCGGACGCTCCTCAGGAATAAAACACAAAGAAAAGAACAGCAACGCAGATGCTTCGTCACAATAGCCGGCGGGGGCGCTCACGGTCAAAGCGGACGCTCCTCAGGAATAAAACACAAAGAAAAGAACAGCAAAGCAGATGCTTCGTCATGGTAGCCGGCGGGGGCGCTCATGGTCAAAGCGGACGCTCCTCAGAAATAAAGCATAAAAAAAAAGAGCAACGCAGATGCTTCGTCGCGGTAGCCGGCGGGGGCGCTCATGGTCAAAGCGGACGCTCCTCAGAGATGAAACACAAAGAAAAGAACAGCAACGCAGATGCTTCGTCCCGGTAGCCGGCGGGGTAGCTCACGGTCAAAGCGGACGCTCTTCAGAGATGAAACACAAAGAAAAGAACAGCAACGCAGAGGCTTCGTCCCGGTAGCCGGCGGGGTAGCTCACGGTCAAAGCGGACGCTCCTCAGAAATAAAACACAAAGAAAAGAACAGCAACGCTGATGTTTCGTCACGGTAGCCGGCGGGGGCGCTCATGGTCTAAGCGGGCGCTCATGGTCTAAGCGGACGCTCCTCAGGAATAAAACACAAAGAAAAGAACAGCAACGCAGATGCTTCGTCACAATAGCCGGCGGGGGCGCTCACGGTCAAAGCGGACGCTCCTCAGGAATAAAACACAAAGAAAAGAACAGCAAAGCAGATGCTTCGTCATGGTAGCCGGCGGGGGCGCTCATGGTCAAAGCGGACGCTCCTCAGAAATAAAGCATAAAAAAAAAAGAGCAACGCAGATGCTTCGTCGCGGTAGCCGGCGGGGGCGCTCATGGTCAAAGCGGACGCTCCTCAGAGATGAAACACAAAGAAAAGAACAGCAACACAGATGCTTCGTCACGGTAGCCAGCGGGGGCGCTCATGGTCAAAGCGGAGGATCCTCAGAAATAAAACACAAAGAAAAGAACAGCAACGCAGATGCTTCGTCACGGTAGCCGGCTCAAGGTCAAAGCGGAGGCTCCTCAGAAATAAAACACAAAGAAAAGAACAGCAACGCAGATGCTTCGTAACGGTAGCCGGCGGGGGCCCTCATGGTCAAAGCGGACGCTCCTCAGAAATAAAAAGCAAAGAAAAGAACAGCAACACAGATGCTTCGTCACGGTAGCCGGCGAAAGCGCTCAAGGTCAAAGCGGACGCTCCTCAGAGATCAAACACAAAGAAAAGAACAGCAACGCAGATGCTTCGTCCCGGTAGCCAGCGGGGTAGCTCACGGTCAAAGCGGACGCTCCTCAGAAATAAAACACAAAGAAAAGAACAGCAACGCAGATGTTTCGTCACGGTAGCCGGCGGGGGCGCTCATGGTCTAAGCGGACGCTCCTCAGGAATAAAACACAAAGAAAAGAACAGCAAAGCAGATGCTTCGTCATGGTAGCCGGCGGGGGCGCTCATGGTCAAAGCGGACGCTCCTCAGAGATGAAACACAAAAGAACAGCAACGCAGATGCTTCGTCCCGGTAGCCGGCGGGGTAGCTCACGGTCAAAGCGGACGCTCCTCAGAGATGAAACACAAAGAAAAGAACAGCAACGCAGATGCTTCGTCCCGGTAGCCGGCGAGGTAGCTCACGGTCAAAGCGGACGCTCCTCAGAAATAAAACACAAAGAAAAGAACAGCAACGCAGATGTTTCGTCACGGTAGCCGGCGGGGGCGCTCATGGTCTAAGCGGACGCTCCTCAGGAATAAAACACAAAGAAAAGAACAGCAAAGCAGATGCTTCGTCATGGTAGCCGGCGGGGGCGCTCATGGTCAAAGCGGACGCTCCTCAGAGATGAAACACAAAGAAAAGAACAGCAACGCAGATGCTTCGTCCCGGTAGCCGGCAGGGTAGCTCACGGTCAAAGCGGACGCTCCTCAGAGATGAAACACAAAGAAAAGAACAGCAACGCAGATGCTTCGTCCCGGTAGCCGGCGGGGTAGCTCACGGTCAAAGCGGACGCTCCTCAGAAATAAAACACAAAGAAAAGAACAGCAACGCAGATGTTTCGTCACGGTAGCCGGCGGGGGCGTTCATGGTCTAAGCGGACGCTCCTCAGGAATAAAACACAAAGAAAAGAACAGCAAAGCAGATGCTTCGTCATGGTAGCCGGCGGGGGCGCTCAAGGTCAAAGCGGACGCTCCTCAGAGATGAAACACAAAGAAAAGAACAGCAACGCAGATGCTTCGTCCCGGTAGCCGGCGGGGTAGCTCACGGTCAAAGCGGACGCTCCTCAGAGATGAAACACAAAGAAAAGAACAGCAACGCAGATGCTTCGTCCCGGTAGCCGGCGGGGTAGCTCACGGTCAAAGCGGACGCTCCTCAGAAATAAAACACAAAGAAAAGAACAGCAACGCAGATGTTTCGTCACGGTAGCCGGCGGGGGCGCTCATGGTCTAAGCGGACGCTCCTCAGGAATAAAACACAAAGAAAAGAACAGCAACGCAGATGCTTCGTCACAATAGCCGGCGGGGGCGCTCACGGTCAAAGCGGACGCTCCTCAGGAATAAAACACAAAGAAAAGAACAGCAAAGCAGATGCTTCATCATGGTAGCCGGCGGGGGCGCTCATGGTCAAAGCGGACGCTCCTCAGAAATAAAGCATAAAAAAAAAGAGCAACGCAGATGCTTCGTCGCGGTAGCCGGCGGGGGCGCTCATGGTCAAAGCGGACGCTCCTCAGAGATGAAACACAAAGAAAAGAACAGCAACGCAGATGCTTCGTCCCGGTAGCCGGCGGGGTAGCTCACGGTCAAAGCGGACGCTCCTCAGAGATGAAACACAAAGAAAAGAACAGCAACGCAGATGCTTCGTCCCGGTAGCCGGCGGGGTAGCTCACGGTCAAAGCGGACGCTCCTCAGAAATAAAACACAAAGAAAAGAACAGCAACGCAGATGTTTCGTCACGGTAGCCGGCGGGGGCGCTCATGGTCTAAGCGGACGCTCCTCAGGAATAAAACACAAAGAAAAGAACAGCAACGCAGATGCTTCGTCACAATAGCCGGCGGGGGCGCTCACGGTCAAAGCGGACGCTCCTCAGGAATAAAACACAAAGAAAAGAACAGCAAAGCAGATGCTTCGTCATGGTAGCCGGCGGGGGCGCTCATGGTCAAAGCGGACGCTCCTCAGAAATAAAGCATAAAAAAAAAAGAGCAACGCAGATGCTTCGTTGCGGTAGCCGGCGGGGGCGCTCATGGTCAAAGCGGACGCTCCTCAGAGATGAAACACAAAGAAAAGAACAGCGATGCAAATGCTTCGTCCCGGTAGCCGGCGGGGGAGCTCACAGTCAAAGCGGACGCTCCTCAGAAATGAAACACGAAGAAAAGAACAGCAACGCAGATGCTTCGTCACGGTAGCCGGCGGGGGCGCTCACGGTCAAAGCGGACGCTCCTCAGAGATGAAACACAAAGAAAAGAACAGCAACGCAGATGCTTTGTCACGGTAGCCGGCGGGGGCGCTCATGGTCTAAGCGGACGCTCCTCAGAAATAAAACACAAAGAAAAGAACAGCAACGCAGATGCTTCGTCACTGTAGCCGGCGGCGCTCAAGGTCAAAGTGGACGCTCCTCAGAAATAAAACGCAAAGAACAGCAATGCAGATGCTTCGTCACAGTAGCCGGCAGGGGCACTCATGGTCAAAGCGGACGCTCCTCAGAAATAAAACACAGAGAAAAGAACAGCAGCGCAGATGCTCCGTCACGGTAGCCGGCGGGGGAGCTCATGGTCAAAGCGGATGCTCCTCAGAAATGAAACACAAAGAAAAGAACAGCAACGCAGATGCTTCGCCCCGGTAGCCGGTGGGGGCGCTCAAGGTCAAAGCGAACGCTCCTCAGAAATAAAACACAAAGAAAAGCACAGCAACGCAGATGCTTTGTCACGGAAGGCATTCCAAACCCGGCAAGGTTCGCCGCGCCTGTGCAGTGGGGGAGCGTGATGCTACCACCGGAGCGCCATATGAAGAAGGAAGACGTGGCACACTGCTTGTAGGAATGAGCTGCATGTAGGAATGCTTTTGTATTAAAGACGTAAGCATTCTTAAGTGTCTTCTTTGAGACTTTTTATTTTCATTTAGGGCAAAAAAGGTCGAGCAAATTTGGGAGCTCAGCAGAGTTGAAATCCCACAAACTGCTTCTTGCAAGATTTTACAGATTGAAAAAAAAAAAAAAAGGGATCCTTTGGTATCTTGGGAGTATACATACCGTATTTAGAGTCACTTCTCCTTAAAGGGACACTGACGGGGTATTTATGCTTGCCAAGGCCTTTATTATTTCTACAAGACATATGAGAGCCCTTCTACCCAAAACCCAATTTGCGGGTCGAAATTGCAACTCGAAATTTCGTTTGTCTCCCGAAAACCGCCAATCGAAAACTGGCCGGTTTGAGTCGCGTTCCCTCCCTTCTCCGTGGTCACGCGCCATTCAGACACACATAGCAAATATAATCAAAGTTGCTTCTAAAAAACTGGAATTACGTCAAATGAAAAAAAAAAAAAAAGTTGCACAGAGTACTGGAAGTACATGTACTGCATTATCCTCAACAAAGCATCATATCACTGGAGCCGCAGGCTGGACGGCTGGACAAAGCGCGCTAAGCGATGGCAGCGGACGACGAGCGTGGGACCTCTACTTCAGAACTGTCGTTCGTGGTACCTTTCTACCTATCTATCTTTGAAAGAGAAATCTTTAACTGATCAAAACAATCAGGACTTATTCCAAACAACACACCCGACCACCAAGCGGATTCGCACAAAGACGTCGCCCATTCTCCTGGCTGAAGACATCACTCGTCTTACGAACACTAATTGGTAAGAGCTTGAAAAACGTGCAAACACCAAGCACAAGAAGCTTGATGTTTGCACATTTTTCGTCTCCTTCGCATAACCCCCCCCCCAAAAAAAAAACGAAAATAAAAAAAGAGGGCGCATTTCCACATGGTGAATGATGTTGATTGGGGCGAAGCTCTGGTGGTGCTGATGATACTGATTTTACTGTTCATAAGTAGTGCTGATGGTGCTGATTTTTTTTTTTTATTGCTCATAGGTTCCGGGTTGCATTTCAACTTCATTATTACTGCTTTATGGTCGGTGAAATGCACAGCCAGTGGTTCTTCTAGCGGATCAGCTTGGATCCGCTAGAAGCCGTGGGAACGCATCTCCACCGCTTAAGTCAACGGTCCATGTCAGAAAGAGAATATGTGGTATGGATCGTGGTTATATATGCAGTTGAGCATTTGACCGCAGCGACCTCTCGTCTATAAACGTTGAGCCAATGCATGCAAAGTTTAACGCGATTATATACGCATTTGACTGCAGCGCCCTCTCCTGTCTAGACGTTCAGCGGCTACATGCAACGTTGCAGTGTAGCGTAGTGGTTAAGACGTCTGCCTCGTAAGCAAGCGGTCCTGAGTTTGAACCCCCGTGCGGGCGTACGTTTTTTTTTTTTTTTAAAGTGGGCCGATCCCGGAGGCAGTGCAATAGATGTGAGCACGGACGCCGGACAGATGGACAAGGCTAGACCCTAAGGAGCTTCACCCCTAAAAATGTGGTTGGGTGCAACTACGTGATTTCCTTCCGGAAACTCTCTCCCTCCTCCCCAGTCCAGACGTCGCGGCCATTAACTCCGTACTCATGTTTCAGTTTCAGTTTCGAGCAGTTGCTTTTTTTTACTTTATTAAATATATATGTGACCCTGTAGCCAAATACTGATTGGGTTGTCTTCCGACACCATACTAAATTGCCTGGTATCTTTTCTTTTCTGAAAAAAAAAAAAAATTTTTCAGAAAAGGAGAACATCAACACTGACCCCACACAGACGCAAAGCTTTCAGGGACGAACTCGGTACAAATACGTGCATTTTGGTCTCATTATTAAGGACAACTCATATTATGTTGATTTTTGGGGAGAATGAAGGTGTCCGTATTACCGGGACACGGCTATATTACAAAATAGGTTGACATGTCTTTTTCAACGAATTCTTTAGTATAAGAGGTCTAACTATGTTAGCCGTCAACCTATACACCTTTTTTATGTGGGTGCCACCATCTTCAATTTTGGAACTTCCGGTATGCGTGGAAACATCGCTTTCCTCTCGCCTCGCCAGTAGAACATGTTAACATTTTAATTGCAACCGTCATTCCTTCTTGTTATGTCCTTTCTATTTTTTTTTTTCCTTTTTCTAAGCTGAAATTTTTTGCTTTTATTCGGAACGCATACCGAATATGGGGACAATGTGGCTGGGTACGAGGCTAAACAAAAAAGGTGTATATGCTTGAATAAATATGCTACTCGTTAGAAAAAAAAAGTGGTAACTGCTCTCAAATGCCTACTATGCAGTTGGCACACCGCAAGGGGCAGAAATGAATACAGCAAGCAACTTAACTTCTTATGGCAGAACTTTTAAAGTGGAGGTTAAAAATACATAAAAGTTGTACAATAATAAAACTAAAATGCTAAGTAGAGAGTCCTGACTACTCACCCGACACAGCCTTGGCTTCGTCGTTGTAAAAACTGTATGCCAATGCAAGAGCATCCGGATACAAGTTCTGCTTGCAGAGAAAATCAATCCTCTGAAAAAAAAGTCACACATCCACAGTAACGGGTATCAGTAGCCGACCAATGGCTGGCCAGCATTAATAAGAGCTGGGGTAGTACAAACCTAATAACTGTGCTGTGTGTATATTTAGACAATGGGAAGTTAGTTAGTCCCAATGGGCCTCTGGTCTCTCTGCTCTAGATGAGAAATACTATTGCCAGTGCAGAACAACTGCTAGTTTAAAGTCTTTAAGGGATGCATGCAAAAGAAAGAAAACATTTTTTTAAACACCCTCGATGTGGAAAGGAAGTCATAAAACAAATTTACAATGAGAAAGAAACTTTTTTGGAGTTACATTTACAGCGCGAAACGAATTTGTAGCTGTCGCCCGCGGGCGCACGGAAGTGTGGCCGTTATTTATCACGTGATTGGCTGCTATTTATCACGTGGTTCTTGCGCTCTTTTGGAAGCTTCCTATGGTCTCTAAAAGTTACTTATGCATCATCATTTGAAGTGCAACAAAAAGCAATGATTAGCAAGTCACTTTATGAGCCCAGAGGACGCTCCTGAAAGGGGGCCAGCACCACGCGATAGACCTGTGTGCCGGTCAGAAAATGCCGGTGTGTTCTCTTCCAACGGAGGCGGCGGCGTGGAGAAATGCGTTGAACTAGTGGCGCACCACGCTCAGCATGCAGCGGCGGCAGCGCAGCGTGGTGGCGCACAGGTCTACCACGTGACCAGCAGCGGCTCCCGCAGGCGCCAACTACAAATTCGTTTTGCGCCGTAAATATAGTTCTCAAAATTTTTTCTTCTTTGTAAATTTGTTTTATTACCTTCTTTTTCCATCTAGGCCGTTTAAAAAAAATTTTTTTTCCGTTGCATGTGTCCTTTAACACCTATCACACAGTAGTGACACACGACATCATGCCGGTACGATGCTTATCCAGATCGAAACAGGCAGGGGTAGGGATGAACCCCAGGATCCCAGTGTTCTGCAGTGCGAGCTTTCGCCCCACTACAAGCCTATTACAATACAAAGATCCAAAGAAAATAAAGCAATGCCACATAATCAAAGAATACAAGCGAGTACATAGCAAATGACTTATTTCAAATAAAGAAATGGGCCAGTTGTTGCATTTTACCTAGGAGCAGTCTTTTACATTTACCATATTTACTCGAGTAATAGCCGCACTGTTTATGAAGGAAACCTGAGGGTTCGCTTTTCCGCGGAACACACAGATTGCCAATCACCGCAATCGACAGCACGATTCCAGCTGTTTACAGGACAGAGATAACGTCTTCGCGCGAAGATACGTCTGTGAAGATTGCATTTGTATGGAGTATAGTGTTCTTGATCTGATTATTCGCTATGTTATTTATGCACAATGCAATGACTGGCTGTATATGTGTTCTGTGGGAAAGGAGACGCAAGGGCCTTGTTCATAAATAGTGTGGTTATTACTCGAGTAAATACGGTAATATTCATTTGTCTGAATCAAACTATGTAGGTCATCAGGAATGAATAGAAAATTGTTCCCTCATTAAAATAAAAAGCAGACACATGGATAATGAATTATGTTATGTATACTAGCACATAAAAGGAGGGAATTTAGGTAGACTGAGCACAAGTAACTGATCATTCGAGGATATTCTGTCTAAGCAGCCTGTAAAAATAATTTGCAACACTTATGCTTAAGTACAAGTCAAAAACAAAAATAGGGGAAGTAAAAATTCCCTTCAAAGGCATGTACTCTATGAAACAAACTTACTTCCAGCCAGGTTCTCAGTGTCAACACGTGAATGGACTTGACGCCCAAGAAAAGGACTTGGGAACCAAATCCAGCAACAGAGTGATAGCAGGCTCGCTCACCAGCAGCTGCCTGAAGATAAACATGTTAAAAAAATGTTACGGGGGCTTTGCAGAACATGGTTACAATGTCAAGAGGAGTTTGGCATTTCAGGCCATCGAAGTGACAGACAAACCAACAATCGTCCAGTGATCAAAACATGAAACTATGAAAGCAGAAATACAGCTGCCTGTTCAGAACTGTGGCAGAGACTAACAGGGCCTAGCAATTAAACCATTAGCTACGAAAGTAGATTTGGAACTATGCCATCCATGCCGAATCCCGCTAAAATAAACCTGCACCACATCAAAGTGTATTCAAGGCTTGTGTGTGCTGGTAACATATATACAAACTTTTCTCAGGACAAATTAGATCTTGAAATTTACAAGGTCCTTCCCCCGCATCACTCTTGAAAGCAAAGCCTCGTTTTAATGCATCTGTGAAACTTTTGGTTTTGGGATGAGCAGCTGCTTTGCCACTTGCACTGCTGACCAACTAAGAACTAGAGCCCCAATAGAGCAGAAAAAGAACAACTTGCCATGGCCTTGCTGACATTTCCACCCGTTGCATGTCCCTTGAAGTGGCTTGTGCCATACACCATCTGAACATCTGCCATGTCTAGGGTCTGGACAAGTCAGCAAAATTCAGATGTGACACTGTGTTCCAGTAGACAGGAAAAAAGACCCACCTCTAGCTCCTCCTGCGAGCGCACATCCAAAATGTGCAAGTCCTCTGAAGTGTCCAAGGCAGCCAAAGTGCGAGAGTTCAGCCACTGAAATGTCAGGTGTCCAAAGTGTCAGATGCTGCGGCAAATACCCATACCAAATAACTTAATATATGAGAGCCCAAAAAAATAGGTGCTCACTGTAAAGGTCTGCACAGTGTACTGCAATTCAATCTTCTGAAGCGGGATGAAGAGAATCTTGTCGGGACTGGAAATGTTCACCTGAAACCACACAGGTTTCTTTCCCTCAGCACTGAGAAAGCCAAAATGACTACCACTCAAATTATCCACTTTTTGACCTTGAGCGAAAAATGCCATTAAAAAAAAAGGCAAAAAAAAGACGGAGGACTAGCACTAAAGGTAAACAGCAGCCACACACGAATGACGAGTTGTTCCACTACCATCATTACATTATTCCAAGCCCTGTTCTTATAAGATTTTTAAAAAAGTCGCAAACGACCACACAGTGTGCTGCGATTGACAGGGGTAGCTGCTGCTGCATTGTGGAAAGGCAGGTTGAAGGAGATCTGCCTTCAGTCAGTCTTCTGTACAATGTCTGCAATGGGTTCTTTGCTTTAAGTAGAATTGATGTAGGGGACGTGTGTGAGGAGATTTGTGTTTTGGTGGAACCATTGTGCGAGATGTTGCATGTGTTGGAAAAGGACACAGAAAGGTGTTTTTTAATGCTCTTTTAGAACAGGAGCACACGTGACCACACCTGCAACGGCAGAAGCGAAAGCATGTATGCAAGCTGTTCTGTAGAGGCGCGGAAAGTTGATGATGATTGGGGTTTTATGGTGCACGAGCAACTTAAGCCATATTGAGAGGTGCTGAGAGTACACGAGACGGAACCTAGGCGGCGGCAGTGGGGAGGCGAGGGAGCGTGTCTGCACAGCGTGATGACGTGGGTATTTCACAACGGCGGCTGTCGGAGAGATGGGGGGGTGGAAGGGAGTGTGTTGCCGGAGTAAGAACAGCAGTGGCCTACAGGGGAAAAGAGAAGGGGCAGCGAGAGAGAGCCTTGCTGTGTGTGAGGAATGATGGGGAGAGGAAGAGCAGTGAGTCTGCTGTAGAGTGGGGTTTTGCATTCATACATGAGCATTTTTTGCCAGAAAGGGGCACTGACAGCTACCGCTGTCAAACTTGTAGACAAATGTAAACATAATTCCCATGTTTTTTGGGTGCACCACCGTATTTGAGAAAAGTAGGCACTTAGATTCGAGTGCACACTCATCTAGCCCTTTTAATAACAATGCTGTCGGGCAAATCTTTCCGGTTGGTAATCATTACCAGAGAATTAAACCGTGCACTGAGAGCAAGGTTGTAACCATGGCAACTTATACATACCTGGAAGAAGAAGAGCAAATTTTGGCGACCAAAAGCAAGGACGGGGTCAATGATGCGCGTCGCAGCTGAAACCTGGATAACCACGAACTGCCAGCTCAGCAGCGGCAAAGTGTCAGGATCAGCCTGCAAAAAAAAACACTTACAAATCACGTCGTCCCAAGGGGTGTTCTTAAAGCCCATAAAATGTCATGAGCACTCACTCACCTTCAGTGGATGAGTGAAGCGTACACGAAGGATTGGCCGCACGGTGACTACAATCACCTGCAATGAGAGAAAATGTGATTCTTGTAACATTGTTTTACAGGAAATATGGTAGTAGTATTAACTTGCAAAAGAACACAGCTGCGAAGTCAGGAATGGCCATAACTAATAGGATATTTTGCCCAGGAAGCCCACTGCTGCTACCGTTTTTACAACTGCACTAACAAGAATAAGAACTGCTTTGTATGTGTGCACAATGCTCAAAACACCTGCTACTCCTGCCATAGCACAGCTGGGCACACAGTAAAGTCAAATAAATAAGACAAACAATGTATACTTAAGAAAGATTACTGGAGCTACATATAAACAAACCACATTTGCTCTGTCTGATCATTTACAGTAATTATTTAGAATGAATAAACGAATACAAAAATAAAAGAAAAAGAGCAAAAACTTTTTATAGTAAAGTCAGTTATTTCAGAAGAAACCTTCATACACTCGTGGAACTTGATCTCCCCTGGGAAAGAGCATTGCGATCCAACGAAGTTTCCCCAGTAGGGGAGGAGTGCCATCGTCAGTGACGATCACGACGTCGCCAATCTTGATCGTTGGGGTTGGAGTTCGAGGCTTTCATGAGCCGACCACAACTAGAATAGGTACTCGCGTTTCCATCTATGCCAAAAGTGGCCTAGGATTGTTTGCCGTAGGTTGGCTTGTGTTTGAAAGCTTGACTCTCTGGAAGGCTGGTTGAACTCCCCTAGTTTATGAGGAGTGGCTGTGAGGCGCCTGCCTATGAGAAAATATGAGGGACAAAGCGGTTGTCGCTCTGAGGGATCGGAACCCAAAGTGGTCAGAGGTCGGCTGTTTACCACTGCCTCCACTTCACATAGCAAGGTTTGTAGCACCTTGAATATCAGGCTGCTGCGACCTAGTGCTCGTCTGAAGACGTCCTTCTGTGTCCGGATCACTCATTCCCACCATCCCCCCCACCAGGGTGCTCTTTCCACAATAAACTTCCAATGTATCCAAAGCCCACTACAGTAGTCTTGAACTTCGGACGTAGACAAGATGGAAAGCATTCATGTGGAGCATTTGAATGTCTGTGCAATATCGGAGTAGATATCTGATGGAAGTCCATGACGGGCTACGAAATGACGGAATGCTAGTAGAAATTGAGTTGCGGTCATGTCAGACACAAGGTCTATGTGGATGGTGCGAGTAACAGCGCATGAGAAAAGGGCGATGCATGCCCTGGAGTAGAAACTGGAGCGGTACGTACATATAGAGGCCCAACAAAATCTATGCCTACTATTGCAAATGGGGTTGCTTGGTGAACTCGATCGTGAGGGGGTGGGGCGTACGGGGCGGTTTCGGGAGCAAGGCGTCTTCACCGGCCGGGTGGGTACTTGTTCATGACGAGTTTGACCGTTTGGCGACCCTTGATTATCCAGAAGCGTTCTCGAAGCTCCGTGAGTGTTACTTGGACACCTCCATGCATGAGTTGACGGTGTGTGTTCGACATTAGCAGGTCAGTAAACTCATGCTTGCAGGGCAAGAAATAGGATGCTTCACATCTGGCAAGTCATCTAGCTCTTGCAGTCGTCCTCCCACCTGCAACAGCTTGTCCTCACCGAGGAACTGATGGAGAGTGCCGATGTTCGATTTAGTAGATGTTGATTCTTTCTGACAGGGGTCATCAAAGGCCTCAAGAAAGGATTCCCTTTGTGTGATGGAGATCCAATAGGTCTCGGCCTTTCTGAGCTCGGCAGACAACGATGGTTCGGTTATGGACGGCCTGGACTGGGATGAATTGGTGAAAAAGCGCAGAATCCAAGTTGTGATCCTTAAAACCCGAGTTAGGGATCCGTAATGGTGAAGCTGAAGAACCTTGGGTAGGTTTGTTGTTGTAACGGGAGTTGCCATGGACATCTGTGCTTCTTCATTTAAAGGTAGATTGGGGGGGACTGACATACTTCTTGGGGCCAGGCGTGTTTTGGTTGTAATAGCCAAGAAGGTCCGGTCCACTATCGTGCTTCGTTCTTGAGCACAGAAGTGAAGATGCCACGTGCCACGAGGTTGACTGGGTTATAACTGCTTGAGCAATGTGCCCACCCAGTAGGGTCTGTCATCAACCCGGTTTCTGACAAATAGCTGCCACCTTGACGAATCCCCCTTGATCCAGTGAAGCGCAATTTTGGAGCCTGTCCAGAGATTTGTTTGGGGCTTGTTGAAGCTCGGAGTCTTCAATACATTGTCGATGAGGTGTGCTCCTAGAAGGCAGGCAAGCAACCGTAGCCGTGGCAATGTAATTGTTTTGATGGGGGCCACTCGACTCTTGCTAATCAACAAACGCGTTGAAATTGTACCGTCTGTGTTGATGAAACGGACGTAGATGGCAGTGCCATAAGCTTGTGGGATTGCATCGACAAAGACGTGAAGCTCAATTGTGCTAGACGATAAGGAATTAACATACCGGGGCAAAATGGTTCAAATATAGATATTTCCGTGAACAATTTGTTCCATTCAGTCTACGCTTCTTGTGGGAGAACTTTGTCCCAGGGGTGCTTGCTTATTTAACGCAATTGGAACAGGGTTTTTGCCCGAATTGTGAGAGGAGCCAGGTAGCCTAGAGCAGTGGTTCTCAAACGGGGGTCTGCGGACCCTTTGGGGTTCGCGAAGGCATTTTAGAGATCCACAAAGCCGTGTCTCACCAGTAAAGCTCGGCAATAAAGTTGCCTTTTTTCAGATCGAGACGAAATGTTTCAGTTTTCTGGCGAGTTTTCTAGTGTGAATGAAAATAAGAGAAGTCTACTTCACACTAGTCCTTAGCTATATCCATTTATTAAATCATTATTATATTTAACCTTCACCTTTCCCCTCTCTTCACCACGAACGGGGTCCTCCATTACCTCCGCCGACCCACAAGGGGTCCGCGAAACATGGATGGTTGAGAATCACTGGCCTAGAGGTTCAAAAAGTTAAGAACAAACTTGCCAAATGGAGCGTTTTGTTGGTTGACGCAATGTGAGAAACGTAGGGATGTTTTGTGAGCTCAAAATGATCTCATCGTTTGCGAGGTCCCAAATAATCCAAGAACCTTCATCATGCAAGTCGTGCCGGCTTCATTGTCGTAAGTGGAGCAGTCTTCAAGAAACTGCCGTTTAAGCGTGCTTGAACTCGACGCCCATTTCCTTAGTTCCATTTTAGCATCTGCAAGGATCGCTGTACTCTCGTGGTAGAGGCGCAACGCGCCATGTTCAGTGGATGCTCAAACAATTAAGTCATCGACATAGAAGGCATCCTTGATCTGGGCAACAGTTCTGGGGTACCTGCTCTTCAAGGCTTTGAAAAGATAACGAAGAGTGGCGGCAAGCAGAGACGGACTTGAAGCGACTCCAAACGGTACTCTTGTTATCTGCCGTTCAACAAACTATGGAGCATCTGTGCCGTTGGGAAGTTTGTCGATCCACAGGAAGTGCGATCATCTTGACGAACCTGAATCTATAAGCCATCCGAATGTCGGCTATGCATACGACCTTGGAGCCTCGAAAGCTGAAGAGAAGTTGGAGAAGATTAGCATCCCACGTGGGACCCTTTTCAAAGACGTTGTTCAACGATGGTTTGTTGGGAGCTTGAGAAGCCTCGAATACTATGCGGATTTTTGTGGTAATGGCATCTTGGCGTATTACAGCATGGTGGGGTTGGTAGTATGTGTTCTCTGCTCGTTGGGTTGATGGCTGCACCCACTCTGCGTGGTGGTCATCGAAATAGGCTCGGATAGTTCTGTCGTATTGCTCCAGCAATTCTGGCTCTCCCTGAAACCGCTCAAGTTGTAAGAACAGTCAGATTTCTGCGATGCTGCAGTTATTGCAATCTGGTCCTAGGCCTTCGGTACTTATCATGAGAGGCACTTCTACCACTGATCATGGTTTTTTATGCTTCTTTAAAATCGTTGGAGCGCTGGGGATCAACTGTTTGAGTGTTGGTTGAATCGGTGATACCCATGGCATTTGTAAAGAATCAAAATCTTTGTTCCCATCATTGGAGAATTCACATGATAGAGAAAGGGTGGTGACTGTGCTCCATGGGTTGCCAGAATGATAGGTATACATTCCTTGTGTCATCCAGCCGAAGACGGTTTCAACTGCCATTAGTGTCTCGTTGAGGCGGTTAATTCTGCCTGTGGCAATCTTCAATAGATGTCAGATCCGATGTGGACACCTATTTCATTTGGGCATGGCACACCTTCCGGCGCTTCATCGGCGCTCAGCAGGTTTTCAGAGTGAAGTGGAGCTTGCAGCTCTTTGTCGATTGGATGACTGGTGACAGTGCAGATTTCTGGCACCTCCGATGCTTGCAAATTGATTTGTGTGCTAATGGTTCGACAACATAGTTTGATGGTAACTCGTCGACAGTGATAGCGTGAAGGTCGTCGAGTGTTATAAAATGTGAATACGATGAGCTCTTGGTTTCCAAGAGCTGTGCAGTTCAATATTTTTTAGATGCCACGACACACGAAAGATTTTTGACTGCCGCTGTCCAGCAATATTCGAACAAGGACTCTTTGATACAGCGAAGAAGCCCACACTTGGCCCATTTGAAGCAGAATTGATGGTCCCTGCTTCGCCAGGTTCTCTGGGGCACTAATAACTGCCCCAGAGTTTGTAATAGAGTCTTCTTCAGATTGGCCAGTGCCTTGCACAGCTCGAGAGGGTCGGAAAATGTTGCATGGAATGGTTAGGTGGTGCCCTCCGCAAGTGGTACAAGTAAGGCTCCTTGCTGTGCGGCAGGCACGGGCGATCTGGTTGTGTTTGGCGCACTTGAAGCAGCAGGGTGCCCATGTGAGGCTTGATCATTCTTCCTGGGTTGATAGTGCAGCCTGGCAGCTCTGAACTTCGTGAACACGAAAAGACTCGGCGGTGAACTGATTCGTTGGTCAGTGCCAGTGCAGATGGATTGTTCGATACGAACTGCGTTTGCAAGTTTCACTGATGTGGTGTGCCTTTGGATGCCCGAGCGGCCTGTTCCATGCATCCTTCCTCTCATCTCTCAATCTGGATTTGAAGAAACGTCATGATAACCTTGACTTGATTGTCTGGGTGCCATTTGAGCGCATTGAGGCTGGCTGTTGACGCGCTATCCTCTCGTTTTTGGCAGCACATGAGTGCTAGATCTTCGGGATGAGCTCTCATCAGTACACAATGAAAAACCACCGCATAGTTGTTGGGCAAAACATCCAAGCCTTCTAGAGATGTTGTGCGGAAGCGAATGGCGTCGAACAGCTGACGAAGTTAGGTGATGTTTCTTGAGCTGCTTATTTTCAGGAGATTCAGTAGCTGGTTAATATGTTCGTCAATCAAGATGTCGCATCTTCTAAATCTGTCATGAAGTGTACGAACTGCCAGGTCATAATTCTACTTAGAGAGACAAATGCCTTCAACAGCGCGCTTTGCGTTGTGAGTGAGGTATGTCATGAGGTACTTAAATTTCTCGATGGGAGGGGCACAGGCATTTCTGTGGATCGTGACATCAAAATGGTCCCAAAATTCCTGCCAATCACTGATGTTTCTGGCAAAGGTAGGCACCTGGAATTTCGGAAGGGTGACCGTGCAATGACTGCCACGAGTTAGTGCTGGAGGGACAGTTCCGGTGGGAAAAAGGTTGCTCAGGATTTCCGTTCTGGGAGGGAGGCCGCCGGGCTACAGTGTGTTGGTTGGGATGTTTGCAACATGCATGGCATTGTTCGTGGAATGGTTCAGTTTGTCCAGGGCGAACCGAAGGCGCGTGATGCCATGGCTGATCCCCGTATGGTAGTCCTCTCCTCCCTCGATCTCGTTTTCCAAGTCGTCGTCCTCTGTCGAAAACAAAATATCCCGGTCCAGGTCAGCTAGGCTTGTCTGCTTCTGGATGAGGGGGTCGAGCGGGAGCCGCAACTCAAGCTCTGTTGTGTCTGGGTTCTGGATAAGATCGTCCAGCTCGGATATCTTCCTGGTGATGGCAGAGCGGACAACGCCGCGGGTCCTGCGTAGGCGGTCCATGTCCTCTCGAGGGGTTTCGGCACCAAAATAATGTGGAAGAAGGGACCCAAGACGTGTCCTGGTTTGGATGGCCATTTATGAAACACTAACATTACAGGTCCCCAACATGGCCCCCAATGGTCCGCGCACTCTTCCTTGTCCTTTACTTCTCAACAGCCTCTATCACCAGTATTACAAGTGCACTTCACTATGTCAGCATTTGCCATAGCAAGGTACCACTGTATAATCAAAGCAACCTTTAAAAAAAAACAAAAAAAAAAACCAGGCGAATAAAGACATAACTTGATCAATTTTATTAAGTATAGCTGTTGGATCCAATGAGCGGTTATCGAGAGAGTACTAAAAATGGCTTTGCAGAAATATATGGTTCTCTGCAACTGATTTATGCTTCAATGCCTCAGTTGTTACTGAATAAATCGGAAAAATATAATGCACGCTTCCTTCCTAAATTTGTCACGTCGTCTGAAAAACGAGAATAAGCATGCTTTCTACTTTTCTTCTTGAAATCTCTGTCGTAGCTGCAGTCTGAGGTTTATAAAAGCAGCATACCTTGGTGACAGTGCCCAGAGCCAGGAGGGAGACATCATGGGCTGGATGGTGGCGAATTTCCTGGCCCACTCGCAGCGGTTCGACAGCACAAACCTCGCCCCGACTGCGAACAAGCAACGGAGAGACCAAAACTCTGTGCAATCTTAAATGGACACATCAGAAATCATTGAAAAAGCCTTCCTTAAGAAAAAAAAAAAGAACAATCCCTTGACAATGAATAATAATCTAGTTCCGACGGCTTGCAGAACTTGCAATACGCCTCGCAAGTGGGCTCATTTTCGTCTTCTGCGCATGAGAAAGGAAGTAGCGGTGACGTCAGAACGCCGAGCCCTGATTGGCTGATCGCAACCCCCTATCTCAGCGTCGTCTGCTCCTTTGTAACGTCGTCTGCTCGCAACATCGTCTGCGTCTGTCTTACCTTTCCTGCGACTTTCGGAAGTGCAGGTCTTTACGAGCGAGCTCGACTTCGCCTTTCAGAGAGGGCAGACGAAATAACTCGAGCGGTACGTTGTTTTTGTCGAACAACTAGCAGACGCGCATCAAGGAGGGAAGTCAAAGGAGTCACTGGCGAGGTGTCCTGAGGCGCCGTGGTTTGTTTGCTAAGAACCGAGAGTGAGCGCGTTAGTGTCCGCAAGTTCCCTCCCAAATACATTTTTCCTCCTTTCGTATGCGACGAGACCCCTCATTCTTTAACGGTGTCGGCGGGTTGGCGCAGTTAACGTCGTCTGCTTTACGTCTGCTAGTCAAAGCGATGGCTGCTTTACCTTTCCTGCATCTGTCGGAGATTCACCGCTTTTTCACCGGCGAGAGTCACCGTTGGCTAAGGAGATAACAAGAGGAAGAAATTGACCTCTTCATCTAAAACTGAGGTCAGCGATCAAAGTATATTACGGGAAGGGTTCACAACGGTCGCGCGGGCATATTCCATTCAGCACGCCAGCCGGTCGTGGGCAGACGGTCGCCGAGTCGCGGAGTGCCCGCTAGGCCTAACTGCCGAAGCTCGCTTGGTCGCGTTCGGTGGAATCGTGGCCGTTGGAGCTTTTCCCGGGTGTTTGTGGATCCAGCGTTCTTGTTCGTCGTGGTCTGTTTCAAGTACTTTTTACTTTTTTCTTGCTGCTTGAGGTCGGGACGCGTGAGAAGCGCACGTAGAAAAATAAACGTCCGTGGGTCGTCGCGACCGCGACGCTGTCGGCCATGCTGATTTGATCGTAAGAAGTGCATAAGACAGCTTCGGAGCTGTCGTAGGATTTCGTCGTAACCTGCGCAAAACTTACGAAAATTTCGTTTCATGAATACGAATTTGTTCTTAAGTTTTGTCTTACGCACATTTTTGGCGTAAGATTGTTTCATGAATCTGGCCTCTGCACTTCCGAAAGTCGTAGGAAAAATAAGACAGACGCAGACGACGTTGCAAAGGAGCAGACGACGCTCAGATAGGGGGTCGCGATCAGCCAATCAGGGCTCGGCGTTCTGACGTCACCGCTACCCCCTGCGCAAGAAGCAGACGAACTTGCCCTCCGCATAGGAGATGAGCTACAGTGGGAGCACAGCATCTCTGGGGTGATGCAAGGGCGTCACAATGACTAAGTGCATGAGGTAGAGGAGCATCATCCAGATCACCAGCATCATTGATGGCTCCAAGATTCCTCTGATCGAAGTTTGAAAGGACAAGAGGGGGACGGCATTGCGGTCTGCCTCCTACGTACCTTCCAGAAAAGATGCAAACGGATTCGCAAGTGCGGTTGTTGAGGACCTTCCTGAAAGGTGGGAAGGACGAGAGGAACCAGAAGAGTTAGCCCACGCTGGCCCAATATGAACAAATAGATACTATGTCTTATATGTAACCTCCTCGTACAGCCATCACTATGCTTTGACACACACTAACCACACATTCATGAAACTGTAGGACTAGACCTGGAAAGAAAACAAGAATCCTAGCTTTGCCAAGGAGGCAGGCTTGCCTCACCTTAAATATAAACAAGACAAGAAGTGTCCTCCAAAAATAAAAATAAAATTAGCAAGAAAGACACTTTGGAAAAACCAGCTAGTGTAGCCATTGCTGTTCTACTAGGTACAATGTCAGTCAATGAGGACAATGTGCTCCAATATCATTCAGATATGAGGTGAACCAGTTCACACTTTGCAAATTGGCAGAACACTTGCAAACTTGATTGGCCACAACAACTTCAGTGTTAGAATAGCTTTTTTTCTGTTTACTGCAGAGTCTTTGTAAAAAGGTTATTCCATGTAGTATTTTGTATATTTCAGAGAATGATGACAATTATAAATGAAATAAAAATTCATGAAATCCACAAGCAAGTTAACAGACCTGAAGTTGAGCTCAAACACTGAGCCGCCACTGTCGCTGCAGATTGCCAAAGTGGGGTCATCTGTAAACTGAGAGGGGGGAACAAAACACAGAGAAGGAAATGTTAGCTCAGTTGGCACCACAAACCTGTCTTCCATGTGCATTTCTTCACCTAACAAATTAGGCAATTCTAAAAGGAGTTTATTGAAATAAGAAGCAAGGCTTACCTTGGCATGCAAAATGGCCGTCTGGGGAGGATGAATGTCTGTGATGGTGCGAAGCAGCTTCCCACTGGTAAGATCCCACATGGTCAGCTATGGTCAGAAACATTGTTAAAGACTGAACTCAGTCACTAAACTTAACATGAAAAGCTGAATCTTATTTACCTGACCCTTGGCATAGCCACAGAGGAGCCTCGTGCAATCGCTGTTGAAGCCAAGAGCAGACACCGACCCGTACTGCTCTCCGAGTTGCCTGCTTCCCAGACACCATTTCAAGGCTTGATCAGGATCTAAGTTCAAACCCACGCTGTGTTATGAAATCGCAATGCTGAAGATTGAAATGTAAGCTGATGTATACTCAAACTGCAGAGCCTGGGTTAAGTTCCCTTTTGAAGAGCTTCGACACCATCACTTGGAGCACGAATTCTCAAACTTCTCAACCTTTAGAACTTGCAAACTTTCCTAACGTTACTAAACACGTTAAGAAAAAAAAGCGTGAGTGTTTGACTAATTAATGTATGGCTTCACCATGCTTCAGCTAAGTTTATAAGGTGCTTAAACCAGAAAAGCACTTCACTTAGAGGCAACCCAGCTTCAAAGCAGTGCCAATTCTGCTGAACTATAGAATAAATGTGAGAGGCTCTTCAACAACTGACAGACGGTGAACTGCAAAAAAAACCTTGTAGGCTCACCAAATACGAGCACCAAGCCATGGAAGGTCCCGACGGCAATCACAGATGACACTGCCTAAAAGAGCAAGTCCGTAAGAATGCTGGCCCCAAAGGAAGCTTAACGAACCGTCACAATGCGGGACACAAGGGAGCAGGAGTTACCAACCAGGGCAGTCGGTTTCCCCGAGTCGACACGCTGAGCCGCTGACTGCAGCTGGGAGGAGACTCCTCGCAAAACAACATGTCGCATAATGCTGTCGTGCCGAGCGTAATGTGAACTCTTCCGTGCCCTTCGAGAAATGCAAGAAAAAAACACGAAACAAAAACAAAACAGGTAAGATGATTAATTTAAGGCATGGAAATGCCGACAAGAGTAGTGACATACGATAAACAAAATAAATCGGGCAAAACATGCGTCAGAGAGTTTATATCACCAGATGCATTCTACAATGCATACGTAACAAGCCCGGTGTACTGAACTTACTGCAGAATAACCCGGAATGACCTGCGCAACAACAAAAAAGACCGCCAACGGCACTGGCACATTTGTGAGAGTTGCATACACAACGCAATTGAGAAGAAGTTCTCACTTTTTGTCACCCAGTATGTTCTTGGAGTCGACGCTACTGACTGACATCGAGTCGCCGGTTTCTTGGAAGAAAGCGCCGACTTGGGTCGATACTTCTTCATCGCTAAGGGAGCCTCCTTCGGCCTGAAAGATGGAAGTTTGACATTGAGACTGTCAAAACACTCCAGGTACTCGGCGTGCTCAGGAAGCTTATCTAGCTATTAGATCGGTGTTGTTTATTTGCATGTAGATGAAAAATGTACCTAGGTCGTGAAATAAGCAATGACATCACAACGGTAAGAAAAATTGCAGCATTCTGGAGAAGGCGTGTTCAATCGACGTCACTCCAGTGTTTCAGCATCGATTTTGCATACAGCCAGTAACAAGCATGAAATAATTGTTGTAGGCCGTTGACGAGGAGCGTCGGAGAAAACCTGGTGGCACCCAGCCAATTGTCCGAAAGAGTACTTGCCTCATTTAAAATGCTTTCCAACGTCGGGGGGTTCTGCACGGCAGGAAGTTCATATTCCTTATCGTCCAACTGTGAGCAAAACAAATGAACAAGGTCAGTTCTATGGAGATCTCAGCACGCTGCTCACATTAATCCTCAGTAATGGGTACATTCATATTTTGATCTTACAGATTTGTCTATCGCTCTTTAAGGTAAGATTCCAAGGTGCCTAGGTTGTATATTTACATATACATTTTAAAATGTCACTTCCGTGAATGTTAAAACGTGCAGTACATGTAAATGTCCAACCTAGTCCTCCAGCATGTTTCATAGGACAGGCCAGCGACATCAAAGCCAATATAAATCTACAGCCAAAATCTAAGCAGTCTGTACCGCCGGCCCACTCTAGTCCCCACAGCGCTAAACAGTAAATCCCAGTGCGAAATCGGCAGTCTCTTGCATTGCAATGATCACAGACGGAAGCTTCGAACCCAGAACTGCTCAATGTTATGCCCCAGATATATGCATTCTTGGCGGTAACCTTTCGGGTCCCCAAGAATAATGTGAGAAACAGCTATCAGCACTCATTTCGCACAACGTACAATGATTTCCGGATGAATTTATGGTACAGTTGGAACACCAAGTCGCTCGTAGCGGTTCCCGGTTCACGCCCCATCGGATAGCACAGAGAGCCGGTGCTTTCTTACTTCTTCAATGTTGAAACCTAATGCGTCCTCTTCAGAAGCGTTTGACGGGTTGCGAGAACCTTTCCCCGATAGATCGTTCTGATCTAAAAACTTGGCTGTTTCGTCCATTTCGCCAAAAGCCGACGGAGCCGCAGCGCTCCAGCGTCCAAGTAGCCGAGCCTGGCCTAAAGTCACCGCAGTTGGTCGTGGTCGCCACTACACCACACCACTGGCCGCATCTGGATTTGGCTCTGGACTGTACTGGATGCTGACGGCTAGAATAGTCGTTGAATGTTCCGCTACGGAGCAGAGTAGCGCGATCCTTTGATCCGCGTGTTTCACCGTCAACATGGCCGACAGAGCAGCTTGGCGCGAGTCACGTGGTACTCAGGGTTCCAGGTCGGCAGGGGGGTAAAGGTGGGTGAGGAGGAGTGGCAAATCCCGTGCGCCGACATCCTGGGTCCCGAGTGAACGAACGCAAAAGAGAGCGACAGAACACGAGAGAAAGAAAGCAGCGTTGCCATGGTAACGCGAAGAGTGAAAACTCTTAGCAATATAAACAGTGATAATTTAACGTTGTAAACTAAATTAGGAGCTATTCTAACGCTTATAAAAAGCAATAAACTCATTACGCTGCATTAACCTCCCTTCTGTCGAAATCTCGGAAATCTGGTGGTTGCGTAGTTTCGTATTCCTCAACCGCGCCCAGCCGCGCCCCACTGGCGAAGCCGGGTATAGACGCTTTCAGGCAGCTGTGCATGGGCGCCGCCATAACTGACCTTCAGTTTTTCTTCCCTCTTATTCCGTTCGCTCCACTTCATCATTACCACAGCAGGACAGGTTATTGCCATGTTAAGTGTTACTGTGTCCTTCTCCCCAGCATAGGCCCTTGTGGAGACTCGTCAACGCCCGCTTCAGTGGCTCGGCATCTCGGTAAGACAAGGGAAGGTCGGCTATGGCGGCTCGATTTGGCGCGCGCTGAAAGCGTCTATATGGTTTAGTTTAGCGTTAACGCGAGGCCGTACATCTGCGCGCTTTTCAAAAAGAAAGCTTCGAAAGGAACGTGAATATCTTTCCACCGGTAAGTTCGTGAATTGTTGAAGTTCACGAAACTGCTCTGATGATGTAACCGTGTTTGGGACCCAGAAGGTCTGCCTGCATGATCCGCCGCTTGCGGCAGCCAGAATGTATATGAAAATGGCGGACCTTTTCCTCTAGAGTTAGTATGTATGATCTCTATGCAGGTCGGCGACCATTTGTGACCGGAGTTGGAACCCGGGGGTTCCAACTCCGGTCACAAATGGATGGGGAACGTGAGAAAATCGCTGTTTCTTGATTATTTTGTTGATGTACGGAACAACAATAGTTTTTGACATAATAAAGGAACAGTTTACAATAATTCGCGCTAAGTTTGTGCCATCGGCACAAACTTTGATGAAGTGTTTTACTGCTTTACCAACTTCACGAACAGACTAGTTTCGAAAAGCGTAAACTCGGCGTCTATTTTTTAATCAGCCGTGTTACGTCGATCTTCTCCTGGCAGAGCCATCTGCTCCGAACGAGCTATATACAGCTCTAGCTAGAATCAACGTCGATGTTTGTTCACTGAGGGACGTTAGCTACAATGACTGCGTATTCTTTAGTTGATCGTATGTAAACTGAATAGAAATGTTAGAGTAGTGGGACCAGAATTAAGATCTCCGATAACTGATTTTTGAGCGCGCGCCCAATCGGGCCCCTCAGGGTGAAAAATATGGCCATCCGTTCAAAATACAAACGCGCGATTATGATTTACGGATATCATTGATCATATTGAACCTATTTCTGACCATAATAGGTGTATTTCAAGTTTCGATTCAGTATCCCTTTAAAGTTAGACGCCAAAAACAACGAGGACACAAGAAGAGATGCAGTCTGCAACGCCTTGTCGAGTCTGCATCTCTTCCAAGTCTCTTCTTCTGTCCTCATTGTTTTTTGGCGTCAAACCTTAAAGGGGCCCTGCAATCATATTAAAGCGTCCACCTTTTTTGCGGTTTCCACGTCTCTTGGGGTTCAGGCAATCCAGCGGACACGGAGAGAGTAACTAAATATCAGTGCGTCATATTTTAACCGGACGACGCGGAAACCTCCTCCACCGACGAGGGCGACCCGCGGTACCGAAAGCGCGCAAAATGTGACGTCTTTGGTCCTAGGCTTACTACTGGTCAGAGCCGCTAAAAGCTTCTTTTTAGTCGAAATACAAAATATAAGTGGCGCGAACCGTTTAATTTTTTTTATAAAAGTTGTTTTTGTTCAGTATTTTAGATCAAAAAAGAAACGAATGCAGTTCATAAAGTACGGAAACAAGAAATGACCCGTGGGCATACCCGCCACCAAGCGGTGGAAAAGGCGGCGCATACTAGAAAGGAGTAGTGGGATCAGGCGCCGACACGGAAAGGTCACGGATGTACGCGGCGGCGCTGCGGTCATTTGGGCAGGAGGATCCGAGCGGCTCCGAGCGTTCCGAAGGCCTTCGGCGAGAAGCTTTGTGTTGCGATTTGGCCGTTTCGCGGTATGGCAGTGCAAAGTAGCTCCCATTCTAAACTGATCTTTACCCCGTGTTTGCTGTCGTTTGTGGCCAATGAAGTGTCATGCCGAATTAGTATTTAATCGCGCAGCAAATGCAATGAGAGCCGCTCTGGCTGCCCGCTGCATGCAGCCTATCCAGAACATGCTTCAATGGCGCCCTCTCGCGCTGTCGACTTGGAGTGCGGCAGCCGTGAGCGCTCGGTAAGCTCACTACCCCTCTTTTAGTTCACGGCCACTCTCAAGCAACCAAGGACGTCATGAGGGAGGTTATTTTTTGCTTGTTTTTGTAATTTTAATTTGCCTATAACTTTTAAAACAAAGGGAATTTCAAGAAAAGAAAAGTTTCACTAAGTTACTACGTTCAGTGCGCTCAGGTTCGGTGCAAATTAAAAATTAGTAAAAAAGTCATTGCAGGGCCCCTTTAAAGGGGTACTCCGCCGATTTTTGAGCTACCTCAACTAACTATATTTTCTGACTCCCCGGCCTTTACCTTTCTGGTATGCTATTTAGAATCGTGAAATTCATAATAGTTATTGCGAAATCGGCAAATGAAAATGATGCAAAAACAGACATTCAAATATACATAACTTATGACACGCCAAAAATAAAATATTACATAACTATACTGCTAGGACCCATTGTATGTTCCTATAATCCTGCTAAATTTGTTTTGAAAAAGGCGCGATAATTTCGTGGATAAATCGATTTATATGCGGGCCCCTCGGAGGGGCAGATCCGGGCGGACCTGGAGGCTGATGACGTAGCCAGCCTCCAGCGCGGTGTCTACTTGCACGCACTCACAGACTCGGCTCTCTTGGCATATCAACTCTCAGCTTCCTCGTTTACCTTCCACGTTTCCAGCATCCGGTCTGTGACGATTACGTCTACGGCATCGATCGCCTTGTCGAAGTGTTCGACATTGATCGCAGCAGCGATGAGAGTGATTGCTATCAAGAGATGTTGGAAGCTGTTCATTTTGACTGCGACCCGCTGGCGACGAGCTCCAGCGACGACGAGTTCGCCGTGGTCACCGTCGTCCGGGAATATCTCGCAGGCGCATGCAGGGTGGAAGGTCAACCGGCCGGGGGCCGAGAGCGAGAATAGCTTTCAGTTTACCGAGCTGTTTGAGCGGTTTTGTTCGTACCGCGACGAGAAGAGCTTGGGCGATCATGGGGGCGCCTAGAATGAGAGAGTGTTCATGGTCACGTGGTTTATGGACATCATGGTGTGACTAACTTGAGCAGTGTTGCCTGGTCGCCAGATGAAAATTATAAAAATTTGTAAATTGAATATTGCAATTATCAGAGCTCTAAAAATTGCGTAACTTGGTGTATATAGTAAGTAGCCTATGAGCATTCCATTTCAAGAATAATCTATCCGTTTAATTTTCGTGTCATAACCCCTTTAAAGACAGGGTTTTTACTCGTTCATCGTCAAGCGCCGAAGTTCTTCAAAACACTGTGTAATCCGTGAGACTTGCCGTTGAGAACACTCGAAAATTTTTACGGAAGCGCAGTGCCACACACAAAAAAAAAAAAAAAAGCGTTGTCGAAAGCAAGTTTCGCTGATCTCGCGGCGTGATCAAATCTTCCTTGGCATGTCGAAGCGCTGCGTCTCTGTGGCTTCGCACCAGTGGCGTAGCCAGGAATTTTTGTCAGGAAGGGCTGAGGTAGCTGGGATGTCCATGAGTTGGGGTGCGGAGAGGGGGAAGGGTTGGGGAGGTCAAAATACTGTATTTCGGGGAGGGGGGGGAATACGCCCCCCCCCCCCCCCCCCACACACACACACACACACACACACTGGCTACGCTTTGCTCCGCACGCTTGGATACCGATCAAGAATCGACACCTTGTAGATGTGTATTGCGAGTGCATTGTGCGTGAAACCGTATGTGCCTCTGGAGCAGCGTTTTACTTTATACTCTGACGACTGTATTTGTAACTTGCGGCACTCGCGGTCCAGAAACGAGCTTGATCCAGTGTCCAGTAGCGACGGAAGAAGGAAAGAAGGTACGCCTTTTTTTTTTTTTTTTGACGTTAGACAGTTTACAGAATACTGCGCACAACAGCTCCTCATCACTGATCATTGCTGGCTCATTATCAACGTTTGAGCGCGGCTCGCCTAATTGTGATTGGTCAACAGATTGCACACGACCGTATGGGCCGCGCTTCAAAAATTTTAATTCTCGCCGAAAACCGAAAACCCCCCTCGCTCCACATCGTTACTTTTTTTTTTATTTATTTATTTCACAATACTGCCAGCCCTGTTAAAGGCCAAAGCAGGAGTGGATAATACAAAACAAGTAGTGTACACTATATTCTCTGTACATCGCACGTACACACAATAAAAAAAAAAGCCGGTGTTCTAAATCTGCTTACAGAGGCGTGCCAAAGACAAGTATATATATTTTTCTTTCTTTCTTTCTTTTTTTCTTCTTTTTCTTGAAACAACACACGTAGAGCTCTTTCGAAATCAGAAATCGACTCGAGAGTAACAACAGCACCTGAAAGTTTATTCGAAAAAACTATAGACCTTTTTCGCAAGGGCGACTGAAGTTGGTAAAATTGAAATTGGTAAAAGCAACTAGAACCACGGCAGTGGTTCTAGTTACTTTTACCAATTTCAGTTTTCCCTAGTCTCCTTCCAACAATGCTCCAACCTCCTTTACGTTACCTCAACCCTTTTATAATCCACCCTTCCATCTTCACCGAAACCCAGGGCCCCTCTACCAGGTGCGTAATTCCATTCGAAGTCCGGGGGGGGGGGGGGGGGGGGGGCATAAGGTTTGCGGTGGCAGCCATCTTAAAAAT